ACAAGAATTTTGGTGTTCAGTGAAGTCCCTGCTCTGTGGATTCCTCACTGACACACAAAAGCATCAGGACAGGGCTCAGATCCCCTGACTTCTGACAGCACCCAGGCCCTAAAGTTTGTCCCACACCAAGTCCTCTGACACACAGAGCCTTTCCTTCCCCTTCATGCCTCGATACACACCCTGAGAAATCCCAGCTGGGAAAACTGAGGCCACATTTGTCTTTTATAGCAGTATCTGTGTTCCAAGAATGCCTCTGTGGCACAGAGCACTTGTCTGAACCATGGAGCGAGTGACTCACAAGCACCACTGCCCATGACTGCACAGCCCAGGATGATCCACAGCCTGCCAAGGGCCAGCAGCTGCAATTTGGCAACTCACACAGCTTTCAGGCTCCTTTGAGGGGGAAAAGGAGGAAAAGTGCACCAAGTGTTTAAGACTTATTTAAGCTGCAAAGTAAAACACAAGTTCTCTTGACAGTCAGAGCTGTGTCGATGTTAATGACTGGAAAGGGGAGGATGGATGCCAGGGAATACAACCATCAGTGCTGCAGTGTGCTCAGCAGCAGTTCCTGACTGAAGGAAGGCTAACTCATCTGTGTAATCCCTTTGGAAATGATTGCTAGCAGGCTTTAGGCTTACTTACCAACGTTTTGCAAAAAAAATTAACGTTTACACAGGAGACCATCTCTGTACTTTTAACAGCGCTGTACCAAGTGCACCAGTTTCTGTGTGAGCAGTCAGATCCCAACCAGAAAGCCAAGGGTGTCTGTGGCTGTGGGAACTTCCCCAAGCAGAATTTAAAGGGATACAAGGAAAGGCCTGATTGATTTATAACCCCTGAGCACAGGATATAAGATGGTTACCCTCAGTTTATGAAGGGTTGCTTTACAACAGCCCAGTGTTTGCTCACAAGAGACACTTTGCTGTCTGTACCAGACACACATCAAGGCTGAGGAGGTTCTCAGGTGCTGAGGTTATTACATCAAACCCTCCAGAGGATGATCTGCTACGTAAGGAGGAGACTTATCTAATAAGATTATCGAGCAACAGCCCTCTATCTCTGAGGAGCAACGCTGCATGTCTGCAGTCCTGTTATTTCCTTGTATCAACGTGCCTCTGAACTGCACAGCTACACTGCAGGTGAAAAAAGGGAGAGAAACCTGATGACAAACCAGATCATGGGATGGTTTGTTAAGGACCAACTTACAGCAACTCTGGGGCTCCAGACTGACACATCAGAGCTTACGTAAGAGAATGAGCAGAGTGAGACAAAGGCAGACCTGAATCCAGGCAAAGCCCAGCCCTGAGCTCACATCCAGCTGCTGCTGGACATGCAGGATCCACACATCCCCTTCCTGAACTGAACAAAACAGACCCAGGGCCCGGAAGACAAACAGTTCACCTGCCAGATCTCTGTTTAATTCAGATATACAAAAATGTAGAGCAGCTTCTCTGACAGTCACTGGGAGCGTTTCAGAGCGGGGTATTTAGGAAATGTGAAATTGCAGGGTTTTTTCTCCTGAGAGTACAATCCACAGGTAAATAAATAGTAGCCACTATCTGATTTTCAAAGCAGGTGCCCAGTTTCGCAATGACATTTGAAAGCTGCCAGAAATCCAAGGTCTAACTGATCTGCAAGTATACACATGTCACCCAGAGGAGAGGAGAGCACCTTCCTCTACAGTTACCTGCATCTACTCTGCCCCATCTCGTGCCAGCAGAGTGTGAATTTCTTGTTTGTTGGGTCTTGTTTTTTGCCTTTACCACTGAACTCGTTGACCCTGCGTGTCTTCACCTCGCTCTTACAGGAAGATGCAATCCCTGACCAGCCTCCAGAACACCAAGGGCAGCTCCATCCCCATCTCCTCTGCACACTCCCCTCCAGGAGCTGCACAAGGAGTTTTGTAACTCTGTCCTGTGACTTCCTTGTTCTATTTGACCAAGTCAGTCCACCACGCTTTTCTATTTACAATCAAATTCCACACCCGATCAACTAAACTGCAGCGATTATTCCAAGTGCCCTACACGAGCTGCGTTCAGATCGCAGCGCTCAAGTTTCTGCGAGCACACTCCCCACAATGCAGCCTTCACTCCTCCCAAATGCCACTAGGGCACAGAAAAATATTCCTGTCAGACAATGGAAGTGGGCCTCCCTCATGAATAAAACATGGGGACACACAAGGAAACGAAATGAAATCAGATACATCGCTGGTTTCTCCTAATCAGCTCTCAGGAGAAAAGACTTGAAAAATATTTACAGCTGGTTTAGAAGAGACCACAGGCAGCCCACCGGCTCTGTAATGAAAAACTGCTGAAACTACTCATTGTGAGACCGAGGAGCAGATCAATCACCTCCCTCTCAGCACTGTCACATATTTTCCTACCTAAGCACCCTAATTCTGCGGGTAGTCATCACCGCAGACTACGAAAATACAAGTTACAGCAGATTGATACACTGCCTTTGGAGATTAAAAAAATCGCTTTGCCGGTGACAAACAGCCCCGTGGAGTTCTTCAAAACTGAAAGCCAGCCATGTGTGAGCTCCTCCACGGCCGATTTTGTTACTGATCACAATTTAATGAGGTTCAAACCCAACGTCTTGGGCACGGAGCCAAGCCCTTTTCTCTCCTGCTTCGCAGGTTTGTTTCTCAAGCTTTAATCCGTACCTTTGTTTCATCTCAGTCTGGGCTGCTACAATCCTTTGTGCTCAGGTCATGCAGTTACCGCCCTTGGGCCGCGGGCGTTTGGCAGAGAGCTGGATTTTGGTCAAGAAGTCCTTTCCTCCACCTCTGCCTCAAGAGCTTCGCTGCCTAACAGTGCTCAGGGAGGACCAAGAGCCCAGACACTGCCTGAACAGTGATGGGCTACATCAAAAACCACCCTGGAAATTCAGATTTATTTTTTTCTAATTGCAGCCACAACCAGGTGGAAAAGTGGACCAGACACCGAGCTGCCCATTTACAGGGGGAAAAGTGACTAAATCAAAATCCAGTGCTCCTCTGGACAGACACCATTAGTTCCATTCAACAACCATATTTTCTGCTTGCCTTTGCTGAAGTGACCATCTGAGTGAGTCAGAAAATAAGACTTTTATAGGCTTTACAAAAACACTCCCCTGATAATGCTTAACAGCTTCAATAAAGTCTGGGACAGGCAGCAACACCCAGGTGAAACAGCTGTTTTGGTCTGTCTGCTGGGGCAGGGGGTTTGTCCTTCCTCTGAAGGATTTTATAGGGAATAACCTTTATCTTTACCTGAACATCATGAAGGCAGACAAGAATAACTCCTTTTTTTAACCTGAACTCCATCCTAAAGCCAGGCAGTGCACAGTGTGCAGCAGTCACTGGGAAAAGGTTTCCTTGAGGAAGAAATAACTCACTGACAATCCCAAATTTAGCCTTCTGAAACCCATGCCAAAAAAGGAGAGGGACAGAAAAATGTCACTGATCATCCCCTTTCGTACAGTCTCAACCTTTATTGGTCCAATCCTGATTAAATCAGAATGAACACATCTTTCTCACAACTATTTTTACAACTTCTTCCATGCCACTCCTCATGCATGAAATAGTCTCCTTAAAACACACCCACAAAGGTTATTTCCCCTGCCCCCAAATCCTTCTGCCATCAATCACTGCTCTAAGTTGTTAAAAAGTAAGAAAAAATCGGCCAGCAAACTTCAGGACAGATAAGTTGGCATGTTATATTAAAGAAGCACTGCTATACGTAATGCAAAGTCATCTGTAATTTAATTGATGGAGTTGTAAGTTCTAACCTCTACACTAAGAGCCTAAATATTCTGACTAAAATCAGGTCTAGAATCCTCCACTGCTTTCCTTTAGTCCCATTACTTCCTCTTGATACTATTAAAAACTATGAAAAGGGTTAAAATACGACACTTTTAGAGTATCATTTAAGAAATAAGATATATATTGAATAACTTATTTTCAAAGATCTACCTAATCTGCTGGAAATTTCCATGTTTGTCATCGTGGCTTTCACACAAAGCAATTCCCAAGATCTCAGATGAAGAGATCTCCCATTTTCCCACTGCAACAGAAAGAAACTTCATCTGAAGAATTTAAATACTTTTCTATAGAGGCTTTTCATTAAAAGGGCGTTTAAGCACAGAAAGAGAAGATTAACACCAATTACTCCGTGCACTTTTGATACGAAGTCAAAAGTGAGATGCCGCATCACCAGAGGCCCGGAGGATGCAAAATATTGCATCATACAGCAATAAATGAATGCAAAACATGTGGAGATACCATATGGTATCTCCGCCAGATAAGGGCAGCACAACACATGCTCATTCTTCTGGTTCGGATAAAAATTTAAAAAAAAAAAAAAAAAAAAAACACAACAAAACTGGCGATGGGTTTTGGACACAAAAGTAGACTTTTTTAAGCGGGCAGCGAGCGGTAACCGGGTGTTTTTGGCACCTTTTTCGCCGCGTTCCGGGCACACAATGCCGGGCGACGACCCCGCGGGGGGCGATGCTTTGTGGCGAGCCGAGCTTGTTGCTCCCCCTCCGCCCTCCACCCTCCGCTGCCCGCGGTCCTGCCACGCACGGGCCGGGCAGAGAATCTTCCAGCAAAACGCTGGAAGTGACTTTTTTTCCCCCCCCCAGTTTCGCCGGGTCCGCGCTATCGGCCGCTCCATCTGCGCGCACTGACTCAGCCGCGGCTCCCGCACCCCGCTGCCGGCGCCGGGCACACGCCCTGCCGCCCTCCCGCTCTCCTTCCCCTCGATCGCTGCCCGCTTTTGTGCGCGGCCGCCCCGCACCTCACGGGGTGTTCTGAGAGGGTCTCCGGGCGGAGGGTCCGCAGAAAGCCGTGAGGGGGACTCGGAGCTCCCCCCCGGGCGGGAGAGCGGAGGGCTGAGGGGAGGGGGCGGCGGCGCCCAACGGTCGGAGCGCGCGCGCGCTCGGCGCCCACACGGACCCCCTCACCACCCCCGGCCCCACCATCCTCCCCTCCGCTCCTTCCCTTCCCTCGTCCGTACCTTGACGAAGAGCTCGATGACGGGCTCCTTGTCGCTCTCCTTCAGCCCGTTGACCGGCACGGAGAGCGCCATCGCTGCTCCTGCTGCTGCTGCTGCTGCTGCTACCGCCGCCGCTCCTGCAGCCCCCGCCCCGCCTTCGCCTCGCCCGCCGCCGCCGCTGCCACAGCCGGGACGGCGACGCCGCTGCGCTCCCCTCGCCCGCCCTGCGCGCGACTGAGCGCGGCCCCGCCCCGCGCCCGGAGCCCGCCGGGGCCGCGCGGGGGTGGGCGGGGCCTCCCCGAGGAGGGGCGGGGCCTCCCCGGGGCAGCGCCGTTGGGGTGGCTGGGCTGGGGGGCGTGACCTCCGCAGAAAGGGGGCGTGGCCTCCCGAAAGGGGCGTGGCAGCGCTGAGGGGGCTCCATGGTGGGCGCAGAGTCCCCCCAGGGTCGGGGGTTCCTCTCTGGGACGTGCGGTCCCCACTGTTCCCCCACCCCTCATGGCGGCGGGGACACCTCCCTGTGAGCCCGCGACGCCCCCGGCGGTGCCCGATGACCTCACGTCTGGGAGCGGCCCTGGCGGTGCCGCTGCCAGAGCCGGGGAGGTGGTCGGGAGGTGTGTGTGTGTGTCCCCTCAGCCCGCCTCACCCCTCAGGGAAAACTCTAAAATGTACAGACTCCCCCATTCATGGACCCGCCACGCCAGAGCAGCACAAACAGCTGCTTCCCTGGCGGGGAGGAAAACCCATTCCAAGAGGCAGCAGAGTCTCCAGCCTGGTTTTTCCCTCCCTATTAAGGTCAGGGGCTGAGGAGCCGGACAGAAAATCTGTGTGGGACAACTGGGTGACACATCGGGATGAAAGGAAAATGAGCTTTTTTTTTTTTTTCTCCCAGTCTTTTCACCAAAATAGCCCGGCCTGGGATCACATTTTCCCCATGCGGCTTCGCGCCTCGCGGAGCACGGGCCGCGGGAACAGAGCGGCTTTTATTCCTCCCTCCACCCTCGCTCCCAGTCCTTCCTTCCTTTTTTTTTTTTTTTTTTTTTTTTTTGGGAGCCCAGACTCTGTTTTTAAATCGTCTGAGCTCAGCTGCACCTGAACGTCTGGGCAGAGCCGTTCCCAGGGCAGGCCGGGGCTGTGGGATCCCCCGCAGTGACTTGGAGACGCAGCGCTGGGCTGAACCTCCCTGTAATTTGTACCCAAATCCATCCCTGCAGCCAGGAATGGCTCCGGATGGAATGGTTACCAACGGTAATAACAAAACCTCCTCCTCTCCGGGGCGTTTTGCTGCCCTGGGTTCTGCATAACCGGATGTCTTTACGCAAATACCATCTTTGAATGCCCTTGGATTCATCCCGAGCAGGAAAAACTGCTGTCGGCCCCTCTCCGGAGCTGATAGGGCTGGGCCACCGATGTGACAAAGTCCTTTTCAGTCCCATTCCTGCAGTTCCCTCCTGTACAGCCCCGGCTCCCTGGGAGCCAGTGGAATATTCGTTTCTGTTTGTTCTAGGGAGTCCAAGGAATCTCGCTGATTCACGGGGTGGGACAGTCTAAGTTGGGAATCGGCGTGTCACTGCAACCAAACCGATGTGGGACCATGCCAGGAACCTCCCTCAGTAATTGCCCATTAATTAATTGCAGCCTCTACCACAAAAGGACACCGTCACCTTCCTTGGAACTTGGGTGGGATGGAGGGGAGGGGAAAAAAAAAAATCCCTTAAATGGGATTGTCACAGAAACATTCAATCCATTCATCCATCAATCTTGGGCCTTCCATTCATGCTGTGTCATGGCGGGGTAAGAAATTTGGCCCCAGTTGGGCCAAATGTCCCCAGCAGCTTCAGGAACTGGTTTAATGAGGGGCTTTTATTGTGAGGCCACTGCAGCACGTGGTAGGGAAAGCTGCACCCTCTGTCTGATGGCAAAGGCAGGAGCTGAGTCCTTTCTCCAGGATAAGGAACACCGAGCCCAGGTGCTCCCCACTCGGCTGAGCCTTCCTCTCTGCTTCGCCCTCCTCCTCCTCCTCCACCAAAAGTGTTTGAATCCCAGGCTTTTGCGAAGAATTTCAAGCCTTTAAAAGCCTCCCCAAAGCCCAGCCCCACCTCCCCGCCAAAAGGCAGTGGTTTAGCACAAAGAAAACAGCTCTCCCACGGCGCCCGTAAAGGTGGGTGTAGAGCAACAAATTTGAGGTCTGCGAGGCGCTCGGGGCCTTTTTGTGTTTCACCAGCCCCACAAAGGAGCTGCCAGGGCTGCATTTCTGCTCTAACAAAAGCTGCTCCCATGCTGTTATCTCGCAGAGCAGCTAATAGCTCATTTGGTTCATACCCCGCTGCACCAGCCTCGGCTCTCGTTTGATACCTTCTCAATTATTTTTCTTTTAGATGACATTTGCCTGGTTTTGCAGCTGCCACCTCCCAAACCCCTCACAGTCCCCGTTCCAAAGAAACCCCCAACGATGCCCAGAACACTGAAAGCTCTCGATCCTTTCCCAGGTCGGTAATCGCTGCTTATATTGTTCTGGGAGGTTTATTCTTTATTTTATTTTCTTCTGAGAACACTTAGACCTAATTTGTCCAAGCTTTACATAACAAACCACCAGCCCTCCTAACAATCCGTAGGGGAATGAGCATCACCCACCTTGACAGTGGTGGGGAATGAGTCAGGAGAGTTAAGTGACTTACTCAAAGCTGAATTTGCACCAAGCCAGGGGAGTGGGAACAAAGCAATTCTGGCCCCCCACCTGCGCTCAGTGGGTCACTCCCTTGATATTATTTCATGCTGCCTTGAGGAGGTTCATTTCCATTTGGCAGGGCAGCAAAACAACGTATTATTGTTTCACTTCTCCAGCACTTTTGGCCTTTCTGCGGCGATTTTCCATCTCAAACTTTCCAAGTGCTGTCGAAAGCGAAGGCATCAGATGTTAAAGATATCAAAGCAGGGGTTCTCCCACCCCGGCCCTCGCTGCTCCAGGAGTGGAATTCGCTGCTACATCGACCCCAGGGGGCTCCAAAAATGGAATTTTATTTCTAGAGGGAATTTTTCTGGCCCTGGAGGAGCTCAGCTCACGGGTCAGTAGGAGCACAGCATGAACATCCTGGGGTTTAAGCGCAATGAAAGCGCTGTGAGGAGAAAGGTGCTGGGGAAGTTTGGAAAGGCACAGACCATCCCGTGCCAGCTGGAAGTGAGAGCCTGTCCTGACCCCGGGGTTCATCAGAGCTCCTTGCAGCAGTGCTGGATGAGGCTGTGGGAAGAACCTGCCCACGGACACCTATTAAAAGAAAGGCAGGAATGCCACACCCTGATTTAAAAATACCAGCACTCCCATTCCAATGCTAATTCGGGATCCCGGGCTGGGATGCTGAGAGCCCTTCCCTGGAGACTTCCAGCGGAAGGGCAGTGAGCTGGTGTGTCCCTGGGGCTCTGCTGAGGTGGTGCCCCCTTAACAGAGCTACCCCATGGAGCTCCCATTTCCTTCCCCCCATCCAGGCACCGAGTGGGATTCCGGCTCCATCCGTCACCTGCCACCTCAGCCACTCTCATTGCTCCCTCCTGTTCTCCTCCCCTGCTCTGAGCAGAGGGTTTGGAGCTGCTGGAAGGTGCGAGCCCGCCAGATTTGCAGGCAGTGCGGGGGAAATCAAACTTCTGCTGCTGTCAGACTGTTTGCAGTTTGCTGTAGTTCCCAAGCAGCTGTCCCTGGGATGGCTCATTTCCACCCGGGGTGGATGCCAAACTTCATCATCACCCATCAGCTCAGGAGCTGGAGTGAGAGCTGAGGACACACCGTGTTCCTCCGAGCCTGGCGTCTGCCACGGGTGGGAAAAATCCCGTGGAAAACAGCTCTCTGCTGCGGGTTGAGGCAGGATTACAGGAGCAGAGGACACATCCCATGCCATTATGTGGGAAGTTGTCTTCATCCCACAGTTTCTGGGTCACTCCTCTCTCGCACGGCCCAAGTTAACGCCGCTCCAAGCACAGAGGCCGGAGAAGTGAATGTTTCTAGGAAATGTTCATCAAGAACTTGTAACGGCAGTAATTGCAGTCAGAGCCATTTAACAATCAATGGACTTTCCGTGCCTTTTTTTTTTTTTTATTTTCCCTTCCCTGGTTCCTGGCATATGGGCCTTACCCCGGGGGAGCTGGATGGTAATTAATGCATTTTGTGGTTAAATGTTTGGACTCGGCATCTCCCGGCGCCCCGAGGAGAAGGGAGGTGGACAAAGCAGGCATTGTCTGCAGGTTTGGGTCTGCTGCCTTGGGTCCCCTCCACGGAGGCACCGTGGGGGGCAGCTTTATGGGAATGCTGACTCAAGCAGAGTTTCCCCCTCCCTCCCTCCTGGAACCCCCCAGGGAAGTGACTCTGACTGTCACCTCCCTGTGCTTGGAGGTGACATCCACGGAGGGGCAAAGGGAATTTGGCTGCCAGAACCACCCAGACAACGGGAGGGACTGAGTGGCCCGCTCTGCCCTTGCAGCAGGAGGTTGTTGCCAAGCTCTGCTTGCCTGGCTGGGGATTCTCACTGCCCTACTTTCCAGATCCAGACACTAGCCTGTTCCCTCTGGGAGCATCAGCAAACGAAGATTTTGGCTTCTCCCTTTCGTAAAAAGCGACCTGGAAAGGACCAAGAGGCAGAGTTGGAGCCTGAGCTGCTGGGAAGGAAGCTGGGAGTCAAGTCTGGGTGTTGGGAAACCTCCCTGGGCACATCCCCACTGCAGCACTGTGCAAATGCACATGAAGTTCCTTCAAGAAAAACCCAAAATCCAGTGCAATTCTGCTTTGAAAAGTTATTTGGGGGATCAAAAAAAAAAATAAAAAAAAAGTTTCCTGTTCCTGATTAAAATCTGTGTTTCCCCACCTTTATGTATAGAAGTCGCCTGAAAGCAAATAAATAAAGGTATTGGCTGTTTTCTTTTAAGGTTTGTCTGCAGGTGATTCAAACACCTGGACTGATAAAGTGATTTCCCTAAGAAAAAAAAAAACAACCTCCACAAGCTGCTTCTCCCAAAATGACAATCCCAGGCTTGCCTGGCTGTGGTTCTTTAAGTGGTTAAATCAGCCACGCTGCCCTGAAGTGCAGCAATCAAACGCCACCACCGAGCTCTCCTGCTGCATTTCCATCCTCTGGAAAGCCTGGAAGCTGCTGGGAGTCATAATGAACTCGGCCCATTAGATCCCAGC